GGTGATAAAAACTAAAAGTGAGGAATGTAGCTAGGGACTGAGGCCAAGGACTGCTGCAAATGGTATCTCTCTCTGAGGGGGTTTCTGTGAAGAAAACATTAAAAATTATGTTAAGAATCATGGACTCTAAGGAGGGATAATATTAAAAAAATACCAATTTTGAGGAGGGGCTACCTTGAAGGAAATGGAGGAAGATTGTTGTTTGTCCAGCTCTAGTATTCAAGGTTTGAGTTCCAGGTTTGGAGTTGCTTCAGCATTTTGGATGCCAGAGGATTTGAGCTGAGGGAGGCTAATCTTGGAGAAAGCTGCTGTGGACTTCTGAAGGTGGAGGCCAGAGATAGAAGCTTTACAAGTAGCCAATCGACTGAAGAAGCTCCTGGTTTTGCTGTGGATACAGCCTGGCTTACCTGAGTGGGGACTTTTGTCAGGTCATTTTGGTGGTTGTGGCTGCTGTCCTGAGTGTCACCCACCTGGTGCTATGCTGGAGCACCCTGCAGCTTTGGGAGCATCTGCTTTTGCGTCTTCTGTTGTCTTCCTGCATTGAAACCTTGCCTGGAGTTTGACTGCCATGTGCCCCAGGTTGGTAGAGGCAGGAAGATGCCATCTTAGATATGTAGTCCATTGTTTGGGAGAGGAGCCGCACATCTTCAGTGGTGGTACCATCATAACAGTATTTGTGCAAGACTGGATAGTACTGGACATGACTTGGTTAAAGTAGATGGCCATTATTGTCCTCAGTAACTCCTGTTTATCTCATTTGTTAAATAACCCCCTTTGTTGTTTCCTGAGCCTGAGCAGTCTTGCAATTGTGTATGTGGTTGATGAACTCAGACAGTATTTGGTAAAGTATTTGGGCAGTCAGGCTTTGGTCAGTTTAGGGTCCTCTGCCCCCTGATATCAGTACATGAGAAGTAAATACATCAATTAACCATTTTATTTTTAAGAAACTTTTAAATTATTTATATATATATATATATATATATATATATATATATATATATATATATTTATTTATTTGTGCATACAGGACTGGGGTACAGGCCAGAGGTACGAGGGGTGGTAAGAGAATTTACCAGAGACAGAGTGGGGAGCAGAACAGGCAGATTGAAATACACTGCTGAGGGGAGCAGCATGTGGGTCAGGAGAGGTTGCTGCACCATGGTCACCTCCCTGGGTGGGGATCCAATCAATGCTGAACTGGCTGCAGATATCTTCATAGTGCTGTGCTTTAACCCATTGCACCATCAGGGAGAGTCCTGGGACTATATAAAATCAAAAAGTTTCCACTCAGTGAAAAAAACTATCATCAAAATGAGAAGGCATCCTAATGAATGTAAAAAGATATCTACAATTCATGTAACTGACAAGGGGTTAATACCCAGAATATCTAAAAAATCTAAAAACCAAATCAACCTATTGAAAAATGGGCAGAGAAACTGAATGGACACTTCTACAAAAAAGACATAGAAATGACCAACAGGCACATGAAAAAATGTTTTTCAGGCCCTCCCTGGTGTCACAGCAGGTTAAAACACTGCACTAAGAAGCTTAAGCCACTTCCGCATGAGTTTGATTCCTGCCTGCCCCAGAGGTGACCACATGGCTTGGCAGACCTCTCCTGACCCGCCCGCTGCTCCCTTCAGGAGTGTACTTCTTCAATCTGCCTGTTCTGCTTCTCACTCTGTCCCTGGTGAATCCTCTCACCCTCTGCATCTCTGGCCTGTACCTCAGTTCTGTATGAATAAATAAATAAATCTTTAAAAAAATTAAAAAAAAATGTTTTTCAACTCTTAGCAACAATAGTCATATTTTCATACTGTTATTATCCAAAAGACAGGAAACAACAAATGTTAGAATTACATGGAGAGAACACAAACCCTTGTACACTGTTGGGAATGTAAACTGATGGAATTATGGCAAACAGTCTTCAAAAAATTAAAAATAGATATTTTATATGATCCAGTTGTCTCACTTTTGGGTATTTACCTGAAAATATGAAAATATTAATCTGAAGAGGTGTATGTAACCCCATGTTTATTGTCATGATGTTTAGAGAGCCAAGAGTTGGAAATAACCTAAGTGCTAAAAATGAAAAAACAAACATATAACAATAGTTACTTCAATAAAAAAATAAAAAAAAAAAAAGCAAAACAAAACCAAAGATCAAGGCAGTTCTTTGAGGGATAAAGAAAGAAGAAAACATGGCAATTTATTTGAAGGTGGGGCCTTCCTAGTATAAAGTTGTAAGATTAAAGATAATGCGTAATGCCTTCACTCTTTATCACGGCCTTCAAACAATCTCTTTCTCTCCCTTCACTCCCGCCCTCCCACCCTCTCCATTTTCACTCCTTCCTTGCTCCTTTCTCTAGTTTGACCTCTGAGTGGGAGTTCATGCTCAGTGACATGTGCTCTCTTAACTAGCTACATTCTAGTGCTTGGGGGGATACCACTCTGTGGGAGTAGGTGTTGTTATCCCAGGTAGAGGCTGGGAATGTGGTATAGAGTGAGGACTCTCCTGCATTATGCAGTCTCCCCTTCACCTGAGCTTCAGTCACAAGGCTTAAAAAAATTAATTCAACTTTTTACATATTTGCTAATAATTTGACAATATAAGATTTCTCCTATTATGTTTGTCCATGGAAACTCTCCCACTACCAGAGCACCCATGGTCTTCTGCCATGGTCCATTGTGCTCTCCCCACCATCTTCCTCATCCCTTCCCTCCCTCTTAGAGGCCTCTGATCTGTGGTCATTTTCCAAGGATTTGTTTCAGAGTTTGTTTGAGACTTTGTTTTTTCTTTATTCTCTATTCTCTATGTAAGTGATAAGTACCACTAGGTACTTAATCTTTCTCCTTCTGACTTATTTCACTTAGCTTAATCTGCAGAAGCAATCATGTTACTGATATTTTGGTCAGCTTTGATGATCCTATTACCTGGAGAGGAACATTCTCTTTCATAGTGGAAAATTGGAGTTCTTGTAATCAAGAAGTAAAAGTAATCTTCATGAGATGTGGTAAAGATTTAAAAGCTGAAAAAAAATACCAAATATATGTGAAGTTTATTTTCTTCAATCTTTCAAAAAGGGTCTATCTTTTCAGATGGGCTGTTTTTTAGACAGTTTGGGTAGGTAGGTTCCTTAAGGCATTTATGTATTAATAGAATTACCACTTTGATACAACACATAAGCAGGAGTTGCTTTCTAAGGACATATTCTCCATTACAGAGAAGAACTAAATACGTTAATGATGGAAGAAGAAAGAAGTAGAATAGGTGATTTTTTTTTTTGCACACACAATTTATAAACACATGTGTCATCTTGATATTAAAACTGCCTGATTTCTTTGCATTTTGTGTGCTTTATTGCACAAACAGATTCAAAGAATTGCTGACTTTGGCTAAAACCAGTGAAGGAACTTTTTGCGATACCTAGTTTAGTGAGTGATATGTGCAAGCCAATTTGAACAAAGAAATTTTTGCTGTCATTTTTTTTTAAGATTTATTTATTTATGCATACAGAACTTGGGTACAGACCAGAGGTGGAGGGGTGGTGAGAGGATTCACCAGAGACAGAGTGGGTAGCAGAACAGGGAGATCCACAAAGTACCCTCCCACTGTGGGGAGCAGCGGGCGGGTCAGGAGAGGTCTGCCACACCATGTGGCCACCTCCGGGGCAGGCATGAATCGAGCTCATACTGAAGTGGCTTTAGCTTCTTAGTGCTGTACTTTAACCTCTGTGCCACCAGGGAGGGCCCCTTTTTGCTGTTTTTTAAAAAAAGTTTTGTACATACCATTCACCGAAATAAACAGTTAATAGAAGGAGAGGAAAAAAAAATATATTAAATGTGTTTCTAGTCTAGGCTAACTATGGTCTAAGGCAAAGAATCACTACTTCACTGAGCAGGAGAGTTAGAGCTTTTTTCCTGTATAGAAGATAGTTTGTTTCCCTCCATGTACTCTGATTGTAGTTCTTGGACCCTGTAACATAATTTTGATTGTTCAGATGAGGCTTAGCTTTACTGTATCTACTCATGGTTCTTTTTTTTTTTTTTTTTAAACTTTATTTTAGAAGGTTTTCCAAGTATACAGGGAAAAATGTATAGGGGTGTTGAATAATTGTGGAGAGGGAATGCATCCAAGTTCTTGCTTAACTGAAAACTCTTTGTTAAATACTTAAAAGTGAAAACAGTCTTTCAAAATAGACGAAGGGCCTGGAAAGCATAGAAATTGGTAAAACAACGCACAGGTAAGCAACAAAGGCAAAAGCTGGGACCTTTATTTTTCCTCAGACCTCAGCTGTCTCCTCATATAGCCCTTATATTTTATGACATTCTGCTTCTTAACATTGGTGAGTGACATCTAATAACTTTAGTTTGCTCATTTCTCCTGTCATGAGCTTCCTGGTGGCAAATACTTCAGTGTGGCATGATCTGGACATTCTTCCTTGTTTTGCCACTAGCAGCTACAGGACAAGAAATCTGCTTTTTCCAATTCTCTATCTGTAACTCGGAGACGTTAGTAACTATTTCAACATATAAAACATACCTTCCATTGAGAAAATCTTAATAAGAGTTAGTTTTACTCAACAATTTTAAGTTCAGTTGTCATATTGAAATAAGAAATGATGAATTTGGGGTGAAAAATAGATTAAGCAGATAGATAATGAAAAATAAGGATAAAGCAAATCTGAAGGTGGATATTTTATTTATAAAATTAAAGCTAAATTCATATTACAAAAATCATAACTACATGCTCATGTTTGGTTTAATTTCTAAATACATATTTGCTATTTTTTAAAACAACATGCAAGTTATGTTGGCATGCTAAGAATCTTTAGTTATCTTTGAAATTTTTTTTATAATACAAATAAAGATTATTATTCAGAAAACTAAAAACAAAAACAAAAACAAACTCCTTAATTGTTAAAATTAATATTTTAACAATTAAAACTACAAGATTTAATTGTAGAAGCAATAAAAACTACAAGATTTTTCTTTGGCATTCACAATTGATTCAGCAGTATAATTAAAAAAACTTGTATTTGTTTTCTAAGATAAATACTGTGAAGACAATTTAATAAACTTGTTTTTGCTCAGCAAATGAGCTACTATAAAAAAGCATTTAACTAGAGCTATGGAGTTCCTGCAGATAGAATTATTACTTCTAGCCTGTTTTATTATCTTTTCCCCTGTAGTCCAATACATGCCTTTTCCATTCCAACCACATGTACCCAGTGAAAGAAATTTCTCTTTTTCTCTTCAGCATCATGCAAGGCAAGGCAGCATCACAAGTCACACATCTGAGTTTACTTTGATTATATTTTGTTTCTTACACTTAAAATTATTTTGTATTTAATACTTACTGTATTATCTAAAATCAACATAGTTGATTTTAAACTCCTACAGGCAGGCTTTTAAAGACATGATGCAACTAAAAGGAATAATTGCTCTAGTCTATTTTGTTTTTTACTTGAAGTAAAATAATTTTAGTTATTAGCAACTTGTTAGAAAATAAGACTCTAGGGGACTTATATAACTAATTCACATCTTTCTATATATTGTAAACAAGGATAGGATATATTTTATAGTAGTCTATGAACAAATTTTTAAAAATATATCCTTTATTATAGGTATCAAGGGAGGCTTTTAAATACAATTCTGGTAGGTCTTTTATGAGCCTATTTTCTAGAAAACTTATATGAAATTTCCAGTTTTGAAAAATCTAAACTTATATGTTTAATTTAGGAACATATTGTACCAAGGTAATGGCACTATATATCTTATGGTCTGATATACACTGCAGCATGTACAAAAGAACCTAAAGAGACACCTTAAATTTCAGAGAGGATATAACAGTGCATAGAGAAGAAAGGATTTTTCAGGTCAGATAATGAAAGAAGACATAGTATTCACCTAAATCAATAATTTGCAAATAACATATGTATGCAATACAAGCAAGATCAGTTAGATATTGTACTATGATAACCACATATTTTGGAGAAAAATTCCCAAGCCAGTCGGATGTGGATTGGGATAAAGACATAGGCAGTGTACACCACCATAGCAAAAATGGTCAGTAAAATAGTATTGAACATCGATCTCTCCCAGGGCTCCAAGACAGCACAGCAGCTAATGATTTGGTATTGATAGTAGAGCCAGGAGAAATAGTCTTTCACACGCCTGAGATCCATGGTTGGTTTTTTCAAATTGTCAAAAATTTGTCCTGTTAAAGAAGGTAATAGATTAGAAGACAAAATCATAGTATCACCTTGGATTTTCATGATCATGGCAAACTGAAACATTCAAAGAGTGAATAATGATCATTAAATTAATTATTATGAATATTACATAGAAATAATGTAAATTACATTAATTACAGAATTTAATAATATTTTCACCATTAATGATAATTGCTAATAGAAATACAGCAAAATTATTAATAATATTAATGTTTATTTAAAATGACCATTGCTAGTAATTCTAATGATAATAATATCTAAAAATTTAGGGCAACAATATTTCCTTTAACATGAACAGTGGTAGTCATTAAGGGATTGCTGAGATCTCTCAATTTAGTGCAAAGTCCTTCAAAGCCCTGGCTAAGGTATCAAGTATAATTCCGCTAACTACATGTACAGAAAGAGATATACATGAAATATCTATTTCCTATGTATTTCAGAAAAAGTGTTAAAGAATAGTACAGCAAGTCTGTTATCTTTGCTTACAAATTTGGACTTTGCCTGGCTTATAGGTACTTGGCTTTTGGAATGTTACATTCTTATCTATGGTTAAGGATGATTCACTATATCGAGAATGCACAAATATTGTAATGTATGGTGAACTCCTGCTTTATTCTGAGAGTCTGGAATCTCAGTAATTGGTAGGTTAAGAGTGTCCACATGACAGTGCCAATAAAAATGTTGGTCTCTTTAATGGGCTCTCTGAGCAGAAACACTGCACATATATCATGGCACTTTTTGTTGGCAGAGAAAGGAGTGTACTCACTGTATGTCTCAAGGAAAAGAGAAAGCAGCAGGAATCTGTAAATGGATTACTTCAGATTTTATCTATGTCTGTCTTTCTTGCTAATCATATTATAGAACCTTTCACAGCTTAACTGTGAGTGCAAATATACATTGAACCCCATAGAGCTTTCAACTGAGTCCACTGAATATATGAGTGGTATTGGAACCTATGAACCACACAAGAAACCTAAGTATATATTTCGGTGATCAGTTGGTACTTGAGTAGAGAAATTATAATTATGTAAATCATATAAAATCCTCTGTTGCCCTCAGATAGAATCATAGTAATAACCATGTACAAAAATTCCTAGAAAGAGGATTAGCTGGCATTTCCTTAAAGAAATTCCGGAAGATTTTGCTAACTTTCATAGGCATGGTGACTATCTGGGGATACAAGCTTTATCCTATGAGTGACAGGACCTCAAAGATTTATAACAGGAGAAGGTTGTGCTTAGTTTGAGAGGATGAGACTTTATATATCCACAAAACATTCCCTGAATTCTAAAGCTTAAATGAGGTGATTTTAAATAATAATCATTTTAGAAAAATCCAAACCAATCACATACTAAAAATCAGTATATTAAAATACTCTTAATTTTATCTTTACAAATGAGGTAAATTACTCACTTAGAAATACCATTGATGTGTTCTCTATACAATTTAACTTTTAAATACTGATTCCTAAACCAGGGCCTTGAAGAAATTTATGTTGGGGACCCTCAACAATCCTTTGGTGACTACCCCAGACTGCAAGCCCAGCCAGCAGGTCCTCAGTAGCAGACAGGGGACTGAATTATACATTTGTAGGACCTCGCTACCCAGTCTGGACCCACAGATGTGGGATCCTCAGTCCTTTTTGTTCTCTGGATATTGTCTTGGTGCCTAGAGTTCTTGCTGGTCAAGTTCAAACATAAAGTAAGGCAGGGGCCTCTCACCAGGGCAAAAGTCTTGATATAAAGAACATACTGGGAAACCAGCATCTGCTGAAACAGCAGGTAGATTTCATGGCAAGATTAGCCTAAGCAGCTAGATTACTTTAACAAAAAGTTAAGAGAGAATAGAAACTAGAAACAGGATATCTGATCAGTGGGAACATTGTTGCTCACCGAGGCAACAACTCCTAATCACCCTCATGTACTTTGTGGCAGACAATCATGCATCACCAATACCATCCCTATAATGTATATTCCTCTGAACCTAATCTTCTCTGAACCTAATCTTCAATAAATGTGAGACTGCCCTTGTGAAAGAGCTGCACTTCAGATGTGGAAGTCCCTCTAGAATTGTACTTCCAGAGGCGTGAGCCCCTCTAGGTCTCTCTCTTTTTCTACTTGGACTATGAGTTGTCTTTTCTTCATTACATATCACTCCTAATGCTGCCACCCCTTGAGGCAGCACACAGCTACACCAGGGAGTACATCCCACTCAGCATGCTGGCATTTTCCAGCAAACTGAGACCACAAGCTGGGCTTCACAGGGCTTTGTTTTATATCAGGGACTCTTAGTGAGCATGCCTGACTCAAAGCATACCCAGCTTCTGGGGAGTGGACAGAGACCTGAGTCACATCTTTACAGGATCTAACTATTCAAAAAAGGCTTCCAACATACCAGGAAGTACATCCATTTTAACCCTCTACCCTCTTTGGGCATCAAAAATAGGCCCTGACCCATTATTCCCAGGTAAGGAGAAGTCCCAATAATTCAGCTTCTTGACTCAGCATCATCCCTGCCCCACTAACTGCCAGAAAAATTGCTCAAACAAGCTTTGGGGGAAGTTCTAGCACCACACCAGGTTTTACAAAACCCCAGTAGCAGTACCCAATACTAAGTAAATGGGGGGTGACGAGGGGAAGACTCATACACCAAAACAGCCCAACTATCAATGGCAGAGGAAGTCCTCAGGAGAGCACCACAGAAAGAATTTCATATTACAGAGCTGGACAACAATGACAGAGAAAAATTGTTTCTGTTGATGAAGAATTCAAAATAGCCATGACTAAGAAGACAAAAACATGCATAACACCCAAACCCTCTCAAAAAACAAGTCAGAGATGCAGAGAAGGAAAAGAATGCTATAAGAAACACAATTGACAAAATTTAGACTGAAACTTTAAGAAAATAAAAGAACTGTAGGTTGTTCAGGTATCAGTGGAGGAGATAAAAGTTGTGGGGGAAATCTGGGGAAGTGGAATAAATGATATGGAAGAACAAATCAGTATTCTCAAAGATATGAATACAAATATGAAAAGAACCAAAGGAATGAGAGATACAAAGAAAAAAGATTGGAAAAAACACTTTCAGAATTATCTGACAGCATGAGGAAGGGAACTCTAAGCCATAGGAAACCAAGAAGAGACAAAGGAACTGAAAAATTATTCAATAATTTTGAAATAATTGAGAGAACTTCCTAAACTTGAAGTTTTGTAATAAAAAGTCTTAGAGGAAAATTGTGGTGAATCAAAATCACTGACAAAGTAAAACAACTAAAAGGAAATAAGGAACTTTCTTTTCACACTTTTGAATTAACTAAATAATTCAATATATATGTTTCAGAGAGAAAAACCAACAGTATTGCTTATAGACAACTTATAGACAACTTATAGACAACTAAGTTACTCTAGTTAAATCTCATATTTAGGAGTGAGTTACTGAAATACCAAAAAAAAAAGGGGGGGGTGCTTTACAACAATTTATCTAAATTGTCAGTGTCAACTTGAATTATACACAAGAGCAGTGCTTCTGTGTCTATCTACACTAACTTTATTGTCACCAGTTTTCAGTAACACTAACAAAAGCACAACAATATAAAAACATGTATTTCCAGTTCAACTGTTAAGTATATTCATTGAGCAACATATGTTGGGTATGTGTTGAGTAACTAATTTCATAGTAGTCTTTGTTGTCTGGTATTTCCTTATAGACTCCAGAGGAATTTATGAATGAAGGACTTCTGCAGGAAAAGAAAACCTGGACTTCATCTTTAAAATTCCATAACATTTAGGAAATACTAAATTCAGATTAGATCAATCTCAGAGTTTGTAGGGGTTATTAATAAATTAAAATTTGAATAATAAGTACATTGATATCAAATAGATGTTATGAAAAGGGAAAGAAATTTATAGCAGAGGTGATTACTGTGATTGAGTTTATCTTGTTTCTGGTGTGCTTTCACTAACTCATATAGAAATAGTGCAGTAATATTTATGACAATGTGACTGAAACTGAAGGGCATTATGCTAAGTGAAATAAGTCAGAAAGAGATAAATACCAGGATTTCACACACATGTGAAATATAAGCAAAAAAAGGGCAAGGAATAGATATCAACAAACTCTTGAAGTATGATACATAACTGAGACTATCAGGTGAGAGGTCTGGAGGGGGAGAAAAGTAGAAGCAAAGTTAGGAGGGCAGTGAAATATGGTGGATACCTAAAACATATACAAGGTTGTAACTCAATATTACCTTGATAAAGATAATTAAAAAAGAAGCAGGGCAGTGACATTGTTTATTTCTGCTAATATTAGAGTGAAGAGTGGGGTTTCTAGACTAAGTTTTCAATTATAATGTCATTTTCTTAGTATAAACTTCTTTATTACTATTTTTTTTAAAGATTTATTTATTTATGCATACAGAACTGGGGTACAGGTCAGAGGTACAGGGGCAGTGGAAAGATTCACCAGAGACAGAGTGGGGAGCAGAACAGGCAGATTAACTGAAATATACTACTGAGGGGAGCAGCGGGTGGGTCAGGAGAGGTCTGCCGTGCCATGTGGGTCACCTCTGGGCCAGGGATCTAACTCCTGTTGGAGTGGCTTTAGCTTCGTAATGCTGTGCTTTAACCTGCTGTGCCACCAGGGAGGGCCTTTTATTACTATTTTTAAGAAACCCTGTTATCATATAAAGAAGGAAAGAAGAAAGAGTATAGCTTCTTCTGTGTGACATTTTCCTTCTGAAGATAATGTTCCCCAGGACTGACAGGGATTTTTTGTTTTGCTTTGTTTTGTTTTTTAAGAAGTAAAACAAAATTACAGCACTAATGAAGTTTTTATACCATTAAAAATCATTTTAAGAAATTCATTAAAGTAAATGCATACTAAATACATTAAAGTAAATAAATATTAAAGTGGCATTACAACATGTGAAAGATGGAAGCAGCCAAATCTTTATCAGCAGATTAGTGGATAAACAAAATATAGTACATACATACCTTTGAATATTTTTCATTATTAAATAGTAAGGAAATTCTTACAGATGTTACAAGGACAATTATGCTAAGTAAAATATGTGAGTCACTAGAAGGCACATGCTGAATGATTTTACTTCATGAGATATCTAGAGTAGATAAACTCACAAAGTAGAATGGCATTTGCCAGGGTTTGGAGGAAGGGAGAAGTTGGGAGTTGTTCAATAGGTATGGAGTTTCGGTTTTGCAAGATGAAAACATTCTGGAGACTGATTGCAAAACAATTTGACTACATTTAACCCTACTTAAGTATACATTAAAATAGTTAGAATGTTAAAATTTACATGCATTTTACAATTAAGTTTAAATGTCAATGAATAAGTGCAAAAATTATGAAGGGTTGACATTTTAAAATATACTTTAAAATAATCTGAACAATGTTTTTTAAAAATCATTAAAAGTTACTAAGGTTCTCAACACTGTGGAACATCACTGCTAGAGAAAAAACAAATGTGTCACTCAAAGCTGAATAAAAGTGGGAAAGTGGCTAATTTGTTTGACTTACTGTTTTTTTTTTTAAGAATTTGTTTTCTTAAGAATACGCCTACCCATGAGAAATTAACCTTTTATATCATAACCTTTATAACCTTTACATATCATCATTATATCTGATGTGTCTTTAAAAACACAAGGAAAAAATCTTGACTAAAGGAAAGAAAAGTGAGTTACTGCCAACTTATTTGTCAAAAATGTGCTTGATGAACACGTATTCCCAGAGCTCTGCCAAAGGAAATTTGGTTGTATAGACAATTGGCCAACCAAGAAACTTCCAACAGTATTTTCTGATACCAATTTTCTGTTTTCTTTGCCTTTTGGGGGGAAACATTGAATAAATTTCCTCACAAAACTTTTGTCTTATTTTTCTGTCTTTCTTCCCCCTCTTTCTCATTCTTCCAGCTTGTTTTTCATTTCTTATTACACTATCCAGAAAACTTCTGGTAAAGAGATTAGTTTTTCACTTGTTTTGCTGACCAGCAATATTGAACTTTCATGTTTGTGGCTTTTGTGATAACACTACCCTCAACTAACTTACTTCTGTATAACAGTTATCACTTATTTAGAAAAATGAGTGGAGAGCTAAGCTGACATCAAGGTTGATGGAAACATACATGGCATTGTTGAGGTGTGATTAATATAAACCTCTTAATAAAAGGGACATATCCCTAAGCAAGGTGGTTAGCATTCCAGATCAGCTAATTTGTAGGGTGGAGAATGGAAAGAGGTAGAGGAGAGGGTAAAAAAAGAAGACAAGAGTTTACAGAGTTGTCAAAACATGTTGCTGTTTTAAGGTAGTTAAATTACGCTAATTAAATTTTGTAATCTTATACTTAGAAGGATAAATAATATACTAAAAGAAAAATGTCTTACTGACAATTTAGCCAAGTGGAGTTCTCATTCTCTTGGGAGGAACAGTGCAGCTTCATTATTTATTTATTTTTTTTAACATACTTTTTTTTTATTTATTCGTACAGAACTGGGGTACAGGTCAGAGATACAGAGGGTGAGAAGATTCACCAGAGAGAGAGTGGGGAGCAGAACAGGCAGATCAACGAAGTACAGTGCTGAGGGGAGCAGCTGG